TGATCAAATATTTTAAAAATATATTTCTGACAATGAGGTAAGTTGTGTCATTAAATTTTATCATTCTAAGGCATGTGGGGGTCATTTCTCATCAAGAAAGACAACTGTAAAAATCTTATAAAGTGGATTTTACTAGCCCATCATATTCAAGGACTCACATATATTCTACAAGTCTCGTGAAAATTGTCAAAAGTTAGGATCTATTTCAAACATCATATGATACCTCTAAATCATATTCTTGTTATTGAGATCTTTGATTGTTGGGGTATAGATTTCATGGGTCCATTTTCTCCATCATTTGGTTTCTTGTACATATTAGTCGTATTAGATTATGTTTCAAAATGGATAGAAGCAATTCCAAGTTGAAACAATGATCATAAAATAGTGACAAAGTTTTTTAAAGAAAATATTTTGAGTCGATTTGGAATCCCTCGAGCCATGATAAGTAATCGTAGAACACATTTCTGCAATAAGTCATTTGAGTCTTTAATGAAAAAAAAATATAGAATCACACACAAAGTTGCCACCCTTTATTACTTTTAGACAAGTGGATAAGTAAAGCTTGCTAATAGGGAGATCAAACAGATCTTGGAGAAAATAGTAAACTCTAATAGGAAAGACTGATCTTTAAGACTTAATGATGCACTTTAGGCTTATCAAAGTGCTTATAAAACATCATTAGATATGTCACCGTATAGAATAGTTTATGAAAAACCTTGTCACTTGCCTGTGGAACTTGAATATAAAGCTTATTGGGCTATTAAAGCTTTCAATTCAAACATTGATGATGCTAGTCAGCTGTGAAAATTAGAAATAAATAAGCTTGAGGAAATAAGAAATAATGTATATAAAAATTCATGAATTCATAAAGCAAGAATAAAAGAGTTTCATGACAAGAAAATACTGAAAAAAATATTCAATGTCTGTCAAAAAGTCTAGATTTATAATTGTCAACTTCATTTATTTCTTTGAAAACTAAGATCAAAATGGAATGGTTCTTTTATTGTGAAACATATGTATTCATATAGGGCCTGTCATATCAAGAATCCAAAAAATGACAATGTTTTCAAGGTAAATGGACATTGTTTGAAAGTTTACTTTAACAAATTTTCAGTTAAAAATGACTTTATTGAATTGAGTGATCCTGTATATAAAGATTAATTTTTCTTTTTTCTCACAATGTTTTGTGTGTTGTTTTGATGTAATTTTTATTTTGCTAGTCTCTCTCACCCTAGTCAAAATTAAAATTTGAGGGAAAACATTTTCAACTGCGTTCCTAAATAATCTTTAACTTTAACAAGGTAAAATTGCATGAAATTAAAAGTTTGTAGATAATTATAAGTATAATAAAAGCAATTGAAAGAACATGGATTGAATTGAATTTTTTCACATCCCAAATTAAGAATTCTAAACGACATGTCATTCAAACTTTATAAAGAGAAGAGGAATGACACATCGTTTGTAGTGTTTGGGCTGGATTGCAGGATAAATTCTGACTTCTCTTTTGCGGCCAAACTTCGAATTTGAAAACAGCAAATTTGGATCTTTCCCTATTCATGAACATTGTAGGTCTATTTCTTATATTTCTAGCCATAAAAACCAAGCTAAAATCCAAGATTTATAGCTTCATATATGATCTAATGATTGAACAATGTTCGAATTTGAATTTAATCGGCATATCATTTCTAAACTTAGCCTTTTCTTTATCCTTTCACTTTCAATAGTTAATCACAACAATTAATCTTTTGAATTATAAGATATGCCTGCATTTAAAATAAGCATTTACCATAAATTAAAGCTATCTTATATTATTAGACTTGTTATTATAAAATATGCTATAGTTAAGGGGTCATTGATACTTTAAGTGTAAAATGATGAAATAAAATCTTAATAAAAATATACTTTTAAGTACTAATTAGTTCAATTTGAGGTCAGAAGTGAACAAAATTAGGATCTTTAACTTAAAAAGTTACGAGTTATGATTTGATATAACTATGATAGATATAAATTAGAATCATCTTTATTAGTTATTGAATTTTTATAAAGATAAGATGCAAGATTACAAATAGATATATTAAGAAAACTTTTTAAAATTTATTTTCCCATCTTGAGGGTCCATCATGCTCTTTTACACAAGAGAACCTAAAAAAAGAATTCCTCCTTTGTGCTCTTAGCAATCAGATTTAAATTGATTTTACTATCATGGTTCACATCATAATAAAAATTAAATAATTCAATGGTTTAAATTGATTACTCATGCATCATTTGATTATAGAAGGGAGGAAGAAAGAGAGAGAAAGAGAACATGTTTTTATTGCACCATGATGCAAATCCTCGTTGGCCTTCTCTTTTTTTCTCTATTTTCTATTTGACATACAGATAATTATAAAAATACACCTATAGTTTGATTTAAATGCACTATTAAGGATATAAAGTTGTAAATTGTTATTAAACATAGAGAAAGTAAAATTCAATTAAACTGTAAGATGATTTTTGTAATATCTGTTTTACCAAACATCTGAAGAAAGAAACAAAGAAAAGGAGAGGAGTGCACTTCAAACATGCAGGTTGGCAAAGTTAATTAATTAGTCCTAGAAAGAGAAGTTGTAAGGTACGGAAATTTATTAGAAAGAAAGACATGTCTGGAACTCTGGAACAAAAACTATAGTCAAACCTACAGCAGGGATTTTTTTAATTATTTTTTATATTATAGGGATTTATTAATTGGTTTAAATTGTATACTAAGTTACAATTAGCTTTAAAAAAAAAAAAAAACCGAAACAAAGCACAATCCCCACGCATCATTTTCCTGGAGCCTCGAAAGAAGGCTGACTCATTAACCTTGCAGTCCTGTGTTGATTAAGTCAGAAGTTTCTCATTTCCTCCCTCTCTTGCTCAAATTAAAACTTGATTAGTTAAATTTGTTTAATTAAGAGATTTAATAGCAAGTTTTAGACTGTATTTTTTTTTTCTAAAAGCCAACTATTTTTCAAAAGATAATTTATAAAATTATATTTTTTTCAATTTCATTCTTATTTAACTTTTAAATTTGTAAGATTTGTTTCTTATTATTTTAATAATTTAAAAAAAAATAAAACATTAATAAATTATTTTTCAACTTATTTTTTATAATATAATTAAATACTGTTAAATATTTTTTTATTTATTTTTTATTATATTATCAAATCTCAAAAAATAATTTATTTTTCTAAAATTTATTAAAAAAATTAATTTCCAACAAATAAAATTCTCATAACCATTGGATAAGGTTATTTTGGAATTTATCTCTACCGATTAACCGAAGTCGTTGTGGCCCCACATTTCCCGGATCATGTGTGATAATCAACTCAATGGCTTTAATTCTGAAAGGGGTGTTTAACATTAAAATAACATGGATTTCTTTGTTGGAAAGCTTACAAAACTAAAAAGTAACGAAGATAAAAGCATCTACTTCCGTGAGATAAAGTACTGAAAATATGAATTTTTAGTACTATAAACTCTTTCAAGCACTTTTGGATGGATCATGGACGGGCGTGAGGTGTACTAATTAGTCTTTTCTTAACAAAATTAGCTACTAATTAATTAGTTAGTTAATGAGCACAAGCCGGGCAACGTTATGATTTTTAGTCCATTTTTGTTTATTGATATATTAGCATTTATTGTTTTTTTAATCCACCCTTCAAAAGTTTGGTCAGAGAGAGGGTAACAACCCATTGTTTTTTAGCTCAATAATTTAGGTATACGTGGGTCATAGTACCTCGCAACTGTAGTGTCTAGGCTCTTTTTAACTCAAGAAAATTCTTAGGCCTTGTTTTTTTCCTGATAAGTCAGGTGTATTTTATCATGATAAGTTCAAAATATTTGATCTTCACGAGTGATTGATATTTTCAAGAACAAGTTTAAATTTTTATTATTATCAGGGACATATTTATTTTTAGGATTTTTTAAATTATAATTTTTTTCAGCTATATTTTCTTTTTAAATTTTAAATTTTTTATTTTGAATTAATTTTTCTGATATTTTTAATCAAAACTGATGTGATAATATTAATAATAAATTTTAAATAATAAGAAATATTATATTAATATATTTTTAAATACTATATTTTTTAAAAATCTTGAAATTTTTTTATATATTTTAATGTGATAATATTAAAAATAAATTGTAAATAATAAAAAATATTATTTTAGTAGATTTTGAAATTAAAGCATAAAGCAGTTTCTGGTAAATTACTTTTTAGATTTTTCTGTGTTTGTCTGCTATTAAAAAAGTTGATCGACAGAAAACACTTTTCAGTCAAAAAAAATTTGTAAGAAAAACACTTTTATGAAGTTATGAAAAATTTAAAAATATCATAGTATTTGCTGATTATATCAAATTTGGTCCTCAAACTTTTGATTATTATCTATATTTTGTTTTGAATATTTATTTTTAAATTTCATCTCTTAAAATTTAATTTTTATATTAACTTTGGTTCTCATTTTTATAATTGTTATTTATTTTTTTTATTAAAATTTTTTATCTATCAAATTTAATCCTTATTCTTTTGATTGTTACTTATTTTATTTGAAATAATTTATGAAATATTAATTATTATTATTTTAATTTTTTTATCTTTAATTTTTTGATTTTATAGATTTAATCTCTATTATTTTGATTATTATTTATTTTATTTAAAATAATTTATAAAAAAAATTTAATTTCATTCTCATTCAACTTTTCATTTATAAGATTTGTTTCTTATTATTTTAATAAATTTTAAAAAAATAAATTATTAATAAATTTTTTTTAATATATTTTTTATAATATAATTAAATACTAGAAAATATTTTTTAATTTATTTTTTATTATATTATTAAATATTTAAAAATAATTTATTTTTCTAAAATTTATTTTTTAGAAATTAAAAGAGGATTGGCTGAATATAGAATACTGTACACTACTTCTCTCTCTAAGCTTTTAACTCAAATAAAGAGAGGCGTTTGGGACAGTGTGCATTAATAAGGGTACCACCCTATTGTGTGTTGTGTTTGCGTTGAGAGAGAGAGAAACAGAAAGAGGAAAGAGAGAGAGTATCTTTTCTTTCAAGAGCAACAGCACGCTTTGCTTCCTCAGCTAAACAACCTAACGTATTTTTAGAGCCACTCCCCCTCCCCCTCCTCCTCTGCTTGGGTTGCGTGCGTTTTGCTCCAAAATTCCTCGTTTCTTGTTTTTGGGTTCTTGAGCTAGCTCTTCTGGGTAATATAGATAAAGGGAATCTCTCCCTCCCTTTTTAGTTTTTACCCTTCTCTGGTTAACCTCTTGTTTCATTTGTTTCTCCTCCTTTCCACCTCAAACCTCCTCTCTTGTATGGTCAATCCCCTCTTTGTACACAAAAAGCAAGTGGAACTCACCGTTGCCTTTGGCCTTTGAGTTGTTGAAACACCTTTTCTTTTTCGTGCTATTCATTCTCTTTGTGGGGTTTCTCTTATTCAGAGAGAGAGGAGATATATTAATGTATTCTGTTTGATGAGTTCGTGAGAGGCTGTAAAAGTCGGTTCTTGTTGAGATCTTAAGGTCCCTTCAACACTTCAAATCTGGCTTCTTGCTTTTAGAAGGGCTTTCTTTTAGTGATTTGAGCATGTGGGTGTTCAAGGTTTTGAGTGCTGGTTAAGAACTCCGCTAACTTGCGAAGGTAGGTAGCCTAGTACGCAGTTTTTCTGTTTAAGGTCCCCTCTTCTTATCTTTTGGTTAATAGTGTATTTTTTTTCTTTGCTCTTATTCACATGGTTTTGAATAATGTTTTTCTGTTTTGCAGCTTGTTAAGCCTTGCTGTTTCACGTTCCTGTGAAGTTTTCTAGTTTTCTTGGTTGTTTCTTGTGTCAAAAGTCGAACAAGGTGGTTTTTATCTGGTGAAAATTAATGGAAGGTTGTTCGAAGAATGTTGAGGCATGTCCTCGGTTGCTGGATTTGATTCCCAAGGAAAGAGAGTGGCTTGGTAAGAGAGAAGATGAAAGATCTTCATCAGAGGAGAAAAAGCTTGAACTAAGGCTAGGTCCTCCTGGTGAAGACTGGTCTCTCAAAAACACCAGTAATAGAGAAAGGCATGAATCTCAACTTAACTCTTTTGGTTGCTTCACCAATGGAAATCAACAATCTCACAAGTTTCCATCTTCCGCTGAGAATTCACATGTCTGGTTCAATCAACAACAACAGGGACAGGTAGCTCCTCCTCCATTTCTCAAGTTTCCATCATCATCAACACCACCAACAGCAACTGCATCCCAACAGAGCCTGCCTGTTATGGCCAAGGAATCCTCACAGCCCTGCTGCGCTAAAGCGGTAGTAGAGTTGCAGCAGTGTGCCGAAAAGAAGGCATTTTCACCTCCGGCTCCTGCCAATACAGCTGTGTCCAACAGCTCTCAGAAAAGGTACTCCAGCTTTTTAACCTTCTGTCTCAGTTTGTTTTTTTTTGTTGCTTTTTTGACAGAGGATAATCATTCACATGTTTACTTGGCTAGATGTGTGGTCCTTATCACTGTTTCTTTCAATTTCTGCCAGTATGGTCTTACTTTCACTTCTTAAATTTGATTGATGAGCTAGTGCATGTGATAATTTCTTTTTCATAGTTTAAAATTTTACAACCAGTTCACTGCTGATTCATGTTGCCTGTTAGCTTAGTTTGTCTATCGAAATCCTTAAATTCTTATCCTTCCAATTTGGTGAGTTCTTTTTTTTTTTTTTATTTACACGGATCCCTTTTAATGAAGTTTTGGTCTTATCTCGTTCACTATTATTTATTATTTTGCACTTTCTTGAATGAAAACTATTTCTTCCTTTTTCCTTTTAAAGTTCACAGTAAGTGGGGCTCCTTAAGAATCTTCAATCTGCTCTATATTTTTAGGGTCTTTGTCTTCTTATGTTTTAGACTCTGAAGTACTTTGATTGTAACTCTTCTAAAATATTCTATCAAATAATTATGATTTTTTTTAAAAATATGAGTTGCATACTTATTTCTTGTGTACTTCGCTCTTTAATGCTCCTTCAAAACAGAACTGCTCCTGGTCCAGTCGTTGGTTGGCCTCCAATTCGTTCTTTCAGGAAGAATCTTGCAACCAGCAGCGGCAGCAATTCAAAACCAACCTTTGAGTCTCAAAATAAACAAGCTGGAACTTGGAAGAAAGGGTTATTTGTCAAGATCAATATGGAAGGTGTCCCCATAGGAAGGAAAGTGGACCTCAAAGCCTATGATAGCTATGAAAAACTCTCAACTGCTGTTGATGAACTCTTTAGAGGCCTTCTTGCAGGTTATTATTCATTCAACCTCAGTGTAAAGTGATAGTTTTACCCACGTGGTCAGCAATTCCCGCCTTTTAATGGTATTAATGGATATGATTGAGATAGAGAGCAATACCGTCTTTTTATTTATTATTTAGCAATGAGGCGTCAGATTTGATAGTTGTGTTAAATTATAAGCACTTCACCAGGTTTATTGCGTTCATAAATTAATATGCACTGTCCATTTACAATCCGCACAGGCCATGGCATATCCATTGGTCCAATTTATGTTGGTTTAATTGTGTTTCGAGTTGCAGTATTCATGGATCATTTGCTGCTTGTTTATTTTAAACATGCCTGTTTCTTGCTAGATAGACAAGGGGTATCTTATTCTGTATGTCTTTTGTGTCCTTTTTATAGCTCAAAGAGATTCCTCTTCCAATGGAATCATGGACAAGCAAGAGGAAGCTAAGGCAATTACGGGTGTATTGGACGGAAGTGGAGAATATACCCTTGTTTATGAGGATAATGAAGGAGACATGATGCTTGTTGGGGATGTCCCATGGCAGTAAGCATAATCTTTATCACTGTGGATCTCATTCATATTATATTCATACTATAGTTGGCGATTATAAGCCTAAAACCAAACGCCATTTTATGCGTTAATGTCTTTTAGCATGGCCCGAATAACTGCATTAGATTCCTAATCATCAACCGTGATATCCCTGCCAAACCATCTACTGCTTTGTTTATTATATATTTTATGTAACGTCTCTTATAAATTCAATGCATAGCCATGTCCTTTTCTCACATTGAAAAAACCGTGCTATGGTTCCCAAATCCTTGATCTGTGTTGGGTTCCGTACAACATATTACCATGTCACCTAAACTGACTTTATCCCCTTTAACGTGGTTTGTAGCATGTTCGTGTCCACAGTGAAGAGGCTGCGTGTATTGAAGAGCTCTGAAGTTTCTGCGTTGAGCCGTGAGTAATTTATTATGTTGCCGGTAAACTTAGCATTGATTAGCCGGCTAGTTTCCTTACCTGCGTGGTGCTGATTACCCTATTTTGCTTATGTGATACTGTTTTCAGTTGGAAGCATCAAGCAAGAGAAGGTGCCGGTGAATTAAGTGGAACAAACAAATTAAGATGGATTTTTCTGTGAAGATTCTCCACTGAAGAGTTGATTTTGCGTCCTTGCTTTATCAATCTTGTATTGAGCTTGTGCGACTCGAAGTATATATAATTATTATATTTAGCCCCTTTTTCCTTGTATCTCTTCTCCTGTCCAACATGACGCTGTTATCTTGATGCCCTGCTTTTCTTTGCGACGCTGTGTTTGGAGCCCAATGAACAATTTTTGTTAGGTAGTGGTATGCTTTCAAGTAGTGATAGCTACTAGTTAAGTCCACGTGGTAGGTGTTTTTCTATAAAAAATATTAAAAAGAAATAAATATTATTTTAAAAATATAAATATTCTGACAATTGGTTGGTTTGAATGAGTTTAAATAAACTTTATTAATTTAATGATATCATGGGAAAGTAAAATATCAACAGAAAATAAAGCAAAAAAAATAGTGATTTAATGCAAAAGATAATAAAATATCAACAAAAACTATAAAAAAAAATGATTTAATGCAAAAGATAAATATTCTCTCAATAAAAAAAAATTAAATTAAATGAGGATAAAAAATATCAATTACTATCAACTTTTTAAATTGTGGCCTGGTTACATTGAAAGTGCTATATATGAGATTATGAGAGTTTAAATAACCATAAAAACAACACAAAAGAATAAAAATAATGTGTTAAAATTGTAATAAAGAATAGATTAAAAGACAACAATAAATTTTAAATTTGAGAGTTAAATTGAAAAAAAAAAGAGACTATAAACTTGAATTAATGAATAAAATTAAAAACAATGAAATTTTTATAAAAGATTCAATGGAAAAAAATTATAAGAATACATCATATATATAAAAAAACAATACATCATCTATATCAACAAATAATATGTTGTCTGTGTGATCTAGAATTCAGAATAAAACATTAAAAAACTGAACAAAAACAAAAGAAAAAAAACACTATAAACTTAGATTAAATAGTGAAACTAACAATAATGAAGCTTTCATAAAAGATTCAAGAAAAAAAAATCATAAGAATAGACATCAAATCTTAAACATCAAAACATAATAAAAATGAATATGTAAAATTATTCAACGTATTTGTTTATACTAAAAAAAACTCCTAAATGTAAATTGAAAAACTTATACACAAATTTAATTAAGCAAATCAATAACCATAACCATTATGTAAGCAATAAAAGCAAAATCATCAACAATAAAAAAAACAATTGAGAAAATCCAGTGAAAAATAAAGATCAAGATATCTTACATTGTAATATAGGTAATTTATCAAATTATATTAGATGAATTCCTCAATCAAAATAAATTTATTATAGAAACTGACATACATAAAATTTATTGAGTAATAATTTAAAAAACAAAAAAATAATGCAAGGTTGCATATATGAAAAATCTTATAAAAAATAATATTAGAAAAAAATTAATCTATATAAAATTAAAAAAATCAAAGATAAATCATATCTACTTCTTTAAAAATTAAACACATTCAATATTATTTAAAAAACACAAATGAATCATACCTACTTCTTTAAAAATTAAAAAAATTAAACACATTCAATATCATTTAAAAATCATCATAATTTAATTAAAACATAAACCCAAAATTTATTTTCAAATATACACACAAATAATTTATTATTATTATTTTTAAAAAAAAATTAGTCTAGGCATTGCTAGGCCTAGCAAGTCTGACCCAATAAAGCAACGACTTGCATTTAGGCTTGGCACATAGGCATACAAGGCCAAACCCAAGCCCATCGTCCACCCCAAGTATATAAAAAAAGATGCATTATTTGTGTAACCCAGAATCCGACTATCATAGTGCCTAGAAAAAAAGGTTTTTTTGTTTTTTACTGAAATCCATTTTCAACCTATTTTTTACTTTTAATACCTTAAAAAGATGATATAGACCTTGTTAAACCAATCCATGACCACTATATACCCAATAAACCGTCCCAAAATAGAAATCCACTCAAAAACAAAAAATCTTCCCCAACTCAATTTATCTTTTAAGTAAAAAAATAAAAATACATAAACATAACTCTTCTTGTTATATGAAATCTTTTGACATAAAAATTAACAATTTTAAAGGTTATAATCTTATGTAATGATCACTTTCTTTTATTAAAAAAAATTCAATGACTCTTTCTCCTTTCCTTTTCAATAATTTTTTTTAAAATGAAGTTAGTTATTAATATCTATTTTTTTTTAAAATTTAAGGTATTAATCACCTAATATTTTTTTAGAAAAAAAATGAAGAATTAAAATAAAAATTTTAATAAAAATTTCAACCCATCGGTGTTACCCAAGATTTTTACTTTAATCTTCTATCTTACAATTCAATCATAACTCTTGAAAAAAATTCAATTAGAAGCTACTTTATGCTTAAAAAACCAGATTACATAAAATAGAAATTATAGAAAAAATTCACAAGTCGAATATAGTGTGAGAGAAAGCACAGTAATGCCTGTTGGCACACAGTATAATTGTGGTAGTTGCTCAGTGTTGTGCACGTGGGATAGTCACAGTCCGCACAGGCTGGCTAGCTATGTGCCAGAGCCTAGCAGTGGAGAATGGCGTCAAGAGACACCCAAGAGCAAACTGCAAACTCTTACAGTGGAGATCATTAACAAGGTTCGCTGGGACTAATCAGCTTGTATCTGTCCGATGCCCATCAGACAGAAGCTCCACCCTTTGTTCAGGTGCACGCAGATCACTAGTTCTCTCCTCCGCTCGTAATCAAGGAGATTTTCTTGGTATTTTGCCAAAATAACTGCCATTTACAGTGGCCATGATTCATAATTATCGGGAAGATCGACATGTATTACCAGCAGATGTCATGTCTGTCTGTCGAGCTCTCCCACAATCTGAAAGAATGATGGGCTGTAAAGCTCGCGCCCTTTATTCTCATACTTGATTCCATGGCAACAGCTGCTCCTTCAAAGGATCCTCTTGGCTTCGGGGGAGGAGAAAGTGGTAACTTTAACACCCTTTTTGTATGACCCCTGACAATGACATTTTGTCCCAGCCCTCCACGCTAAATTCCATTCCTCTGGGTGCCCTAAAACTGCCTTCTCTTTGGAAAAGAGATTCCACCGTTGATCTTGGATTGTATGGTTATAATTTGCTTTGGGTCATTTGCTGTTGTTTCATAGTCAATGTTCCTAGGAGCTTTAAAAAACTTCATGTTTGGGGACTCTTGAAGGGTCGTTTTCGTTGAGAGCTGCCTAACTTAAGAGGGCGGAAACGTAGAACGGTCCTTATTCCGAAGGAACTGACCCTACTGTTTATGTATATATATTATTTAATCAGATCTCCTTTCTTTCACACGTCCATGGCTGCTGCTCTATCTTCGGTCAGTATTGGGCCTTACTCATATGACCCTTATTGGGCTATGTCTACCTGAAAGTATGGTGGCCTGTTTGGTTATTGGGCTTCCCAGAAGCAAATATTGATTTTCAAAACCGTCAATAGCTATATGGCATGACCTTGATTGATTATGATTGACATTATATCTCAATCTCCTTCCATACAAAATAACAAAAGTTAGTTATTTGTACACTTTAAGAAATCTTTTTTTACAATTAAAATAAATATTAAGATTTAAATTTCAAAGAAAAAAAAATACAATTTGTTAGATGAATTAATCTTTTTTTATTCAAATTATTTTTTGGTTTGAATAAAATATATATTTTTATTATCAACATGCTTATTAAAAAAAAGGTAACGACCAATTAATATTTTTGAGAATTTAAATCATATAAAATAAATAGAAAAAAAATACATCTTTTCTATCTAAATTCCATTTCTTTATTTATGCATTTTTATTTTATTTTATTTTAATGAAAACATGTTTCATTTTTTTAATTCAAAGCATTGGTTTCTTTAAATGAAAACTTATCAAGATTCCAAAAATAATTTTTAATAAAAAATATTAAAATAATGTCTCTAATACCATTCAAAAGGAGAGAAAACTATTTAACGTTATGAAACCATATAAACAATATATTAGAAAAACTAAAATGAATAATATTTTCATTATATATTCATGAGCATATTCTTAAGATATTTATTCATACTTAGTATATCTGAATTAAAAAAACAATAGTTAATATTATTATAAAATATATAACATTACTTAAACGTACCTAATTTATGCATGCATGTTCTTTCTTTCTTGTCTTTAATTTTAATTTACTTTAATATAAATCTAATTAGATAACTGTTTCTACTTCAATTTTTTTTTTTATATTAGAATTTTATAAGTAGTATCCATGCACGCATACAAACAAGAAATTATTTACTCCTTTCGTTTCAAGACTGTTCCTATGGATTGTCATGTATTATACAGGAAAGAAAAGTTTATCATCACTCAAACTTGTATCCAATCTATGTTAGTACTTTCTTTCTAGTCCTCAATTTTAGTTTACTTTAACATACATTTATGGGTGGTTTCTAATTATTATTAATAATATTATAATTATTTTATTTGATTTTATATATATATATATATATAAAATTTCATAATTGGTTGGTGATTAAGCTAAAAACAAATACTAGGATGGATAGGTTTAAAACACTTGCGAAGCAAGTTCCCTATGTGTTTGTTGAGGCCACTCTAATATTTAAGTTAGTGTAATGGAAGAGAAAGATTATCCAAAAATTCAATGAGAATAGGATTTAAAAATGTTTATGATCTATGAATGTAGAAATGTTTTGTCCTATCTATAATACATGAGTGATAAGGTATTTATTTACCTTGTTTAGAGCAAATCACATGATTTACATGGAAAGAAGCTCACTACGAGGAGTAGCTTATGAAAGATCCTAATTGTTTTAAATACGTGATTAGTATTTAAAAGTGTATTTTATCGAGATTTTATATTATTATGATGCACTTGAAGTATCAATAACTCCTTAACTAGATCATGTTTTATAATAAAAGTATGATAATATAAGATATTTTTAATTTATGATAAATGTTCATTTTAAATGCAGACCTATTACATAAATCAAAAGATTGGATATTTTTAATTTATGGTAAATATTCATTTTAAATGTAGGTGTATCACATAAATCAAATGATTGATTGATGAGTTAACTATTGAAATTGAGAAGACAAAGAGAGGACT